AGAAAAATAAGATTAAAAAAAAAAAAAAAAGAAAAAGAAAAATAAACTGGATGTGGTGGCGTACAAGCTCAGCATTCTGGGAGGTTGAGGCAGGAGGATCCCAAGTTCAAGGCGAGCCTGGGCAACTTTGGTACTTAGCAAGACCCTGTCTCAAAAGAAATTTTTAAAAAGGCTGGAGATGCAGTTGAGCACAAGACACTGGATTCAACCCTCAGTATCACACACAAAGCTAAAAAAAAAGGTAAGATTTTACTATTCAGTAGTAACATCTCTCCTAAAAATAACTAGCTTTGGAAGGCCCCAAACATGATTTCACTTACAGAATTTGCGACATATTGAAAATAAATACAAAATAAGAGTTTGAAAATTACTTTTTTGATCAAAGATAGTAAAATATGTACTGGATACATAAAATCACTTACAGTAAATTTTCAATTGTTCCCACAGAGAAGTAAAACAGACTTCATGCTTAACATTAAGAAAATACTTAGAAACGGAGTCAATCACACACCAACCTTCCTGCAGTTGTTGCAGCTGCCTCTTGAGAGAAGCCAGTTTGTCCTGATACATCCTGTAAAAGAAAAATCACACTGAAAGACAAAAGCATTCAGTCCCCAACTCTATAACAACCTCTACACAGGAGTTACTGAGTCTGTTAGGGGGATGACACCAATGTTCTTTAGGGAAGAGAGGTTTACAACGTACTAGCAAGAGCGGTTAGAAAGGGACAGGAACCAGGCATAGTGGTAAATGTTTGTAAGTTCCAGCTCGTTGGGAGGCCAAGGCACGACAATCACTTGAGCCTACCAGTTTGAGACCACCATAGTGAAATCCCATCTCAAAAAAAGAGAAAAGGACAAGGGTTGCATATTCTTGAATTATATCTTAATTTCTTATTCTTCTGTTACTCCACCTTTAGAGAATCAGTCTAAAATGTACAAATATGAAGACAGATTTTAATAAATATCAATGATAATGAGTAAACATACAAACATAAACATAAAAAGAAAAATTCAAAGTATGATGCCGTTTTCTTCTGGACTTAAAAGTATAAGTAACATATTAAAAATAACTCTAATTTCAACTCTACAACTAGATTATAAATTCCAAAGGAATGAGATTATGTCCTGGGCATGTTTTTTGAAAAAACACCACAGCTGAATAAGCAATAAGTCAATAATTCTTCACATCACTTTTAAAAGCACTACTCTTTCAGGAGCAGAAAAATAGTAATTCAGAACAAAAATTAAAATGGAAAATTCATTTATAGCCCCAGCTAGATAAGAACACACCGGACACACAAAGGAAAAGACCACGGCACATTACTTTTTTATTGGCATACATTTGCAGAGCAAACACATGCACTTAATGTGTCTTAATTCTTTTTAACTCCTTTTCCCTTCTCCTCCCTCCCTCTTTGTCTCTAGATCCCCTTCCCACTGATAAAAGATGTCCCTATTTCCTTTTCCTAATTTTTGATACTTTGGATTTCTCATACAAATAAATACAGTAGTTAAGCTTGTGTGTCTTGATTTATTTCACTTAATATTATGGCCTCAAGAAGCATTTGCTTTCCTACAGATGACTCAAACGTATCCCTCTTTATGACAAACTAGTTCTCCATTAAGTATAAGTATTATCTTTTGTTTACTCATTCATCGGTTGATAAATATACGGATTTGTGGCAATTACACACTGGCAAATCCATTCAAATGGTGGATTCTATATGTAAATCACATTTCCACAATATTTTGAGTTCTATCTGAAAACATCAACAATCTCTCAGTGGCAAAACAGGTTTTGCAGTCTGTGATCCCAGCACTCTGGGAGGCTGAGGCAGGAGGATCACAAGTTGGAGCCCAGCCTGGACAATTTAGCAACTTAACAGGGCCCTGTCTCAAAAACAAAAAAGGCCTTGGGATATAGCTCATTGTGAACACTCTGGGTTTAGTTCCCGGTACCAAAAAGCAAGCAGGATTTGCGACCTAAAATAACACTGTCCAACATGTGATATCCACAATAGTCTTCTGATTGCTCAAATATGTCTGACATGCACAACCCAACATTCTGCAGCTGGGGGAAAGAGCAGGCAGAATCTGGGAGTCCCACCAGAGGGCTGCTTCTTTTAGGATAAATCCTGATCAACTCCCCATGCTCACCTTGAATCACACAAGGCATTCAATTTTAATCAAAATTATTTTCTCATTAAGGGAGTACATTCAATCAAAAGATGATCTCTGAAAATGATGCTTAGATATATCAAGTACAGGAAAGGGGGGAGATGCAAGGACCACGCACAAGTCAGTATCTGGAATCCAGGACATTAACTTTTCCACCTTGACAGTGCCGGCCAATTCCCGTAACTGAGACTTCGAAAGGAAATGACAGATTGAAGAAAGAAACGAAAAACTTAAGACTCACTTAGGTCACGTACAGGGAAAAGAACCGGTGTGTGAGAATGTATCCTAAAGAGGTCAAGGGGAATCAATACAAAGCTTGCAAAGATGAAACTGTGATAAAGATCACATAATTTTATTATAAGTAATCCTTCATTCACCATTGGTCAGACTTAGCAAAATTACCCCTTTGGGTTCCTAAGGTTGAAAATGATGACAGAATCCACAGAATGGCTATAAACATTTGTGAATAGAACCTAGAAGGGAGAGACTGTGGATCATCTACTTTAAAAGAATTTAAAAGGTCAAATCAAGATCCTCAAAATGCACTCAATAAATACTTATTAAACATATGTTACGTGCTGTCTTCTATCTGGGTGTATGATTAAAAATGGGAGGGGGAAATGGCAGCACTTGTAGTCCCAGCTACAGTGCTGGGAAGACAGCTAGGGTCCAAGGTCAGCCTAGACAACATAGAAAGATCTCAGTTCAAACAAAGGGGAGGGAAGAGAAAAAGAGAGAGAAGGAAGGAGGAAGGGAGGGGAGCAGCGGGGAGAAGAGGGAGGGAGGCACAGAAAAGAGTAGGGTTTTGTTCCCCTGGCTAGTGTAGCTGCCGCTGTGTGAAGACCTGTGAGTGCGGACTGCCTACTCCCCAGTCCTGGAGCTCTCTGAGCACCACCACGCTGTGCAGGAAGGAGTCAGTGCTCAGGGGGTTCACGCCTATCTGAGAACCCAACTGCTTCACAGCACCACTCACCCTCTCTGGCACTGGTTTTCACATTCCAAAATAATAAAAACATGGAAAAGGTTCACCCATTACAGGGCCTTACTCCCAGCCTCGTGATCATTTCCACCAAGATTCTTCCCGGCCTACACTCAAGAGTCTTGAAGACTGATTAAATGAGACTAACTTAAAGTGGAGTAAGGAGAGGCTGGTCAGGAGTGCAAGAGGGCAGCCTGGGGAACTCAGCAGGAGTCTGTCTCAAAAACAAAACAGAGGGGTTGAGGATTTAGCTCAGTGGTTCCGCCACCTGCCTTGCTAGGGAAAGGTCCCTAGTTGAATCCCTGGTACCAAAAAAAACACAAAAAAAAGAAACCTAAAGGGATAGGGATGTAACTCAATGCTCCCTGGGTTCAATTTCCCAGCACTACAAAAAAGGTAGTAGGGGGTGAGGTTTGCACACACAGTATGAATAAAACATAGTCATTATATACACCATCATTATAAAGATTTTGTCAATTCCATATACCAGAAAACAAATACAAAAATCATACTTACTGTTCCTTCATCTCTACATAATCTTCATCATGCTTTGCCAGGTCAGTTTCACTAGCATCCTCAGTGTCTGAGAAAAATTAGAGGAAAAGGGAGAATTAAAATCATAATCCCTAGACACGGTATCACCTGACACAGGACTAAGTACTTAATAAACTTCTGTAAAGTGAATTTTTTTTCTTTTTTGGTACTGGGGACCTGCAAGGCAGGCAGCGGAATCACTGAGCTAAGTCCCCGGCCCTGTAAAGTGAATTTCTATTCAATGCAGACTTGCATGAAACCACCAGTGAGCTGAGGACACACATTGTAGGCACTGAGGCTGGACGTGGCAGGCAGTCAAGCCTACTCAGTGACACAGGCTTGTCCTGGACACCGTGACACATTTTACATTCTGTGCATACAATAAAAAAGGAGAATTCCCTACAACAAATCAAATTCTAGTAACAACTATTTTCAAAGTTACAACGAAGCGGGGGCAAGATTCTCAAACAAAAACTGTTTAAAACACTTGCAACACTGTTCTTACAACAAGCAAATGGCTGAAGTGTACTAATTTCAATGGTCCTTGTACAGTACAGTACTTGCAGGGGGGAAAATATCAATTTTGGTTTTACCACGCCTCCTCGTGGCCATTAAAGGCAATGCAAGTGCTTGTCTTCAAGTAGCTGTGCCAAATGCAATTAGATCCAACTTTATGTCCCACACAGGCAGCTGCCTTCTGAAAAGCTGTTGCAGATCCAATTTCCACAATCCCTTCTCCCTCCCGCAACGGAAGAGACCTTCAGTGAGGTCCTGCCGTTTGCTGGGGAGCCCGCACTTAGAACCTGGGAGGCTGAGACAACACTAATCACCCCAGGTGGCTGGTCTATAGCTCCGGCTTTAGGGTCCTACTTTTGGGCTAAATTACTCCCCCCAGAGAAAGGCCTCCGTACTCTTTCTTCTCCTTTGTCTTTCCGTATTTCTTCACCTACCTCTTCCTCCAGCCAGCTCCTTCTTCAATCCCTCCAAAACTATGTTCCTCACACCAAAGGGTAAGGAGCAAGGCTCCGAATTTCAAAAGCATGAGTCTGAGTGAAAACACAACATCTGTGTACCATTAGGCAAATCACTACCTCCCACGTGATCAAAGCTGAGGACCAGACACCGTACTGGTACGTCTCATCCAGTCCACCTGCCTCAAGAAGCAGGCACCGTTAGGAGCTCTACTACAGCTGAGTACACCAAGGCTGGAAGGCTTACGTTCTCTAACGTTACGAAGGGACTGAGCCAAAGATTTAGGGTTCTTCTTCCAACCAACCGGCTCTATTCCCAATCACGCACTGCTCCGCGCGAAGCGCAGCTGACTTAAGCGTTTCAGAGGAAGGAGACTGGGCTTTGCTCTGGCCCTCTCCGTAAAAAGAACAACAAAATAGGACTACTTAGTACTCGAGGAACCCAAAGACTGGCCCATTCCAGCTACAGAAAACCCCGGGTTCAACCACGCCCAGCTGGGGTCGCGGCGAAGCCTCAGACCCCCAAGCTCCGACGAGGGCTCGCCCCTCGCTGTCCTTCCCCGCGCCCCCGCGAGCCCGAG